GATCGCTGGTGCGTAGCATCCATGCACTTCTGAATCAAATCTCTAATTAGGATTTCACAGCTTATCCATGCTTAAAAGTAATCGCCTGGGTAAATATAGCATGCGGCCGCTTTTATTCAAATCGTATCAGAAATAAGCTCGCCTCCAAAGCATTTCATGTATTTTCCCTTGGACATGGAGTCAACTAACCCCAGCTGTGTGAGGGTGACTCTAGCGGTGCCTGAGGGCTCGGACGTGACAGGCCTCTCTCAGCCAACTCTCAGGGTTTTAATTGCAGCGTTAGAAAGCTGTCACCATTCACAAACGTCCAGCTCGTATTACCGGAGTCATTCATTCTTGGAAGTCAATAGACAGTCCAGCAGTGAAAGATTGTCCCTGCAACCATTCAGCGCCAATTAGTGAGCTAATGAAAGGCACAATCTCATTCTCTCTCTGAAGCCCGCACATAATGAGCAGATGAATGGGTGTTTCAGGTATTTCGTGTTTGTACGTTTTATAGTCCGTTAGAGGAGCTCTGAGCCGGTTGATGAAGATGATTGTCGGCCTGAAGTGGAGAAGTGTACGGATGATTAGAGAGCCTCAATCTGGATGAGGAAGTTGAATGAATAACATTTCCACCCCCAGAAATGACTATTATGGCGCCATTGAGAAAAGCACTTATCCTCCACTTGTTCCAGTGCAGCTGCTCATTAGGAAACAGAAAGATAAGCGCCGTGCAGAGAAGCTCCCGAGTGTGAATGTGTGCGTCATAACAATAAGACCAGGGTTAAAAAAATGCTTTCTTTGTCTGTTCAGATAAACTCTTTGCAGCACAAGTGGGTATCCTTGTTATCCTATAGTTTATTTTCCTTTTCTGTTGCAATTTGTGTGATAAACACATTGCTTAATTTCAAATAAATGCCTGTTTGTTTGCTGTACTGTGCATACAGTATAGATTGAGCTTTTAGCCACAGTGATGTCAGTGTTGCCAGACATGAAACATCTCAACAATTACCGGATGGATTGTCAAACCGATATTCATGGTGCTCAGAGGATGAACCCTTCCGACATTCGTTACCCCTAACTTGTCGTGCCCCTAAGTTGCGCAACAAAGAGCTTGACATTTTACATTCGATGGGCATGACATTTGGAACAGATATTCATGTTCCCCAGAGCATTTGAATGTCATAGTTGTTGTGATCCTAACACACTATGATCAAGTGAAAGTTTGACTCTGTTCAAAGGTTTGGTTTGTGACCAAATGGCCTCAAAACTAACCATTCTCTCAGTCTACGTTTTTAGGACTAATGTTACAATGCTAGCAGGTTAAAGCTAGATGCAGAGCATGATAAACTGTTAATCTAACTACCAACCATCAGCATGTTATTAATGTCATTGTGAGTTGTTACATGCTGATGTCAGCACCGCTGTGCCTTTGCAGCGTCACATAACTGCTAGCATGGCTGTTTGATTAAGGCTTGTTTACCAACCAGATGTTTAAAAACTGGGGAATTGAGTTACATTTTGTAGGAACAAAGAAACATTCAGGAAGAAAGACCGTTTTTCATAGAGGGCCATGAAAGTCATACAGAGCAGTATTAGAAAGACCAAATCCATTCTTTGGTAAAATAGGACTGTAGGCTGGATGCTAAAGGGTGCTTTAAAGTGTTAATGCATACAGAGGCAAAAGCTGAGGTTAGCAAAGCTTGCAAAGACACCGTGACGGATGATCCCTCATTGCATGTGTTCTGTCTGGATCCTTGTGCTCTTACAAGGTTTCCTGGGCTAGGCTCCATGTGTGCAAGCCCCCATAGGAGAGTAAAATGTATTTCTGTATGTCTGCAGACAAAGGTGAGCAAAATAAATATAAAATGAGATTTCCATTTCTGGTGTTATGCTGCTCTCTGTTGCTCTAAGCAGGCCCTGGGGGCTTCTGCCCAGCCTCTTCATCAATTTACTGGCTCAGTGAAAGGTCTCTTGTTGCTCCCTCTTTTCCTCTTTGTCTCATTTCCTCTCACTTGCCTCTTTCCTTCTCCCCATCGCTTTGTTTCTGTCTCCTTCAGCGTGAACCTTAACTGACGTTAATGAAAAGGCATGTCCTTCGCAATTCCCTCTTCCCGACCAATATGAGAGACGAGTGGAGAGGTGATGGAAGTGGAGTAGGGCACGAGAGGTGAGGAGATGATCGAGGGAATAAAGAAAGAGAAATAATGCCCTTTGAGGAACTTAGGTGAAAGAGAGGCAATGAGAAAAAGAGGGATTTATAGCTCAGAGAAAGCAGTGAGAGCTTCAGGAAGCGCAGGAATGGATACATGAATATCTAGAAAAAATATATTTCAATCACACATCTGTGGATCCAAACTATGAAAGGAGAACTTGTATGCATGTGTGTTTCCTTCTTGTTCACTGGCAGACGGTGTTAATTGTCTGTCCTTATGTCGGCCATTTCGCCCAGCAGAAGGTCTTTGTGGGCAGAAAAAAGATGGGATGCCAGCGCTGTTAAAACAACAGATGTCTTCATTAATGGACTTGATGAAGCTGCTCTATTGTCTTTGTCTACTCACAGACACAGAAAACAGCTGGTGTGCTCGAAATGTCAGTTATCCGTCATTCAAGGTGAAAGGTCTGCTCCCCCCCCCCGCTCTCGGATACATTTCTGGTAATTGTTAGCAGGTAGTTGAGGCACATGTGGGATTTTGGGAGACCACAATTGACTGAATTGCTGTCGCCTGTTGGATCAGCTGGCTTTCAAAGGGAGGCAGAAGTGATGGAAAACACACGTCTTTGTTTCAGCACGCGATGAACACAGTGTAGGGGATTTTAACACAAATCATCACTATGGGCTGTGAGCGCAGATGAGAGCGCGCCTTTGTTCGTAAACCATTAGTGTGTCTCTTGTGTTGGTGAACAAAGCAGAGCACTTTTAGCCCTCTATGGAAGAGAGATCCACAGGTTGCCCCATTAGAAGTGAATGGGGGCCAGATGTTCCCTTTTAGTGTGTGTGTGTGTGTGTGTGTGTGTGTGTGTT